GCCATTACAATCCTATTCATCTAACCCAGAGGGTCTTATCATATTAGAAGGGGAGAGTTACTCACATTTTTGGAAACCTGATGAAGTTTATGGACTCTTCTTTAAGGAAAAAGAAAACGTACCTTGCTTTTTAACCATAATTTTAGGGAGTTTATGAATCTCTCAAAGCTCAGTTATGGACTCCAAATTAAAGACCTCTGATCTGACTACTCCATGATACTAGGCTCTCTGACAAAAACAATTATACCTTCTCTTCATAGTAGATTTGTTTTCTATTTTATACTTAATAGAAATGCAGTTAATATGAAATTTAGAGCTTGGGCTCTGGAACCAAACAGATGGATACAAATCTTGGTTCTGGCACTTAATAACTGTGATCCTGGTCAGTTTGTTTGACCTTCCTGAGTCTTAGTTTCCTCATCTGTAAAATGGGGATAATAATAGTGCTGACCTTATAGGATTTTGATGAAGATTAAATAAAATAATACCTGTAAAAATATACTTAGCACAATACCTACCATATGTTAAGTGCTGAATATGTTGTTTTATTATAATTAGGAAATGGATTTATTTTTCCTTCCTAGATGTTTCCAATAATATGAGGATAGTTACAGTTGTTTGTCTTATCTACTTCACCAGGATCTATCCAATTAGCTGGCTGAGTGATTAAAGCTTGGAGTATTTTAATCTCAATAACCGTGTTTTTTTGTTAGCTCCATGGTCAAGAATTTGACACCCACCCTCAGACCCCAACCTAATTATTGAGTCAATAGCCTTATTTTTAGGAAAAATCTAGTATTCTGTGAATCTTGTGTGGCAAACTAGAACAACATGATTGCGGTTTGAAAGATGCTGAAATATGTCTGTAAATTGACCATATCTATTTAAATCACTATTTTATTCATGACAGCAGAGCAAAGGACTTGCCATATAGAAGGCATTCAATAAATATTTGGTGACTGAGTGACTGGATTCTGTTATAACAGTAAAATGTCTTAAGAGAAAGAATCCATTTTTCTGAGTGTTTTTAAGTTAAATGATGTTTTCAAGACTTTCCTCCTTCATTTCTTATTAGAGTGCCTGTTCTGCAACTAGTTGCTAGGACTGGAAACTTGTCTGCCTTATTTACTAGCTGTGTAACCATGGGCGAGTTATTTCACCTCTTGAAGCCTTGGTTTTCTAATTTATAAAATGGGCATAATAATAGGGTTAGAGTGTGGAGGAAGTGAGTTAATATAAAAGAGATACTTAGAACAGTGCCCAACAATATGTTCCAAAAATCTTAGCATTGTCATTATCATTAACTAATTGCTACTACTACTACAGTTGAAGTTGCTCTTCAAGACTCCCTTCATATGGATTTTTGGGGCAATGAAATTATTCTGTATGATACTGTAGTGGTGGCTACATGTCATTATGCATTTGTCAAAACCCATAGAATGTACAATATCAAGAGTGAACCCTAATGTAAACTATGGACTTTGGTTGATAATAATGTGTCCATATTGGTTCATCGATTGTACCAAATGTGCCACACTGATGAGGGATGTTGAGGGTAGAGGAGTATATATGTGTGGGTGGGGAGGGCTGTGTGCAAACTCTGTATTTTCTGCTCAATTCTGCTGTGAACCTGAAACTGTTCTAAAAAATAAAGTCTGTTAATAAAAAAATTTAAAAAAGACTCCCTCCATACAGTGGGCTTGTTTTATTTGTTGCATCTTTCCCTAAACTAAAATTCAATTAAAACTTCTTTAATTTAAAAACACAAATAGCAGATTTGTCTTGCATGTAATATAACTGTAAATTTTCAAGGCTTTATTCTGTAGAGTAGACTAAATGTGAAGTCTTATTCTTCCACAAGTAGAGATGGATTTATTTTGACTGAATGTGAAAATCATCATCATCAATATGGTTGCAACATTTTCTCTCTGCTCATTCTGTACTCCTCTTCCAGTTCCAAATATTATTTGCATGGACCTGATGATGTTGAGTATGAATATTGCAGAGGAGTGATAGCTTCCCTTTCATATTGAAGCTGAAACTTCAGAGAGAAGATTAAAGAAGTGTTTGTTATCTATCTGCACAGGCCTTATGTGAAATTCTTAGAGGCTTTTAGAGTAAACAGAGCTCTGTGTGTATGTTTGCATGCTTTTTCTTCTATATACTTCTATTGTGGTCTTTGTATTTTGGTTTAAAATTTCTAGTTTCAGACTTGTTGGAGTCTCCGGCTAAGGGATAATTGTTTTCAGAGTGAAGGATAAGAATTAGAAGATGTTGGCAGGATTTGACTAAATGCCTCCTAAAGATTGTGTAATTCTCTAGTGTGGAATCATCTTTCCAGAGAATGTGGTGAAGGCCATTCATAGGATATATTTAACAAGACAAGAGCAAGACCTTAAATGTGTCCAGCAGAGAATAATCCATGGTGCCCTCCAGTGAGGGATGAAATTGCTCACCTTTTGGCCTTGCCTTTTAGACATATCCTCTGTGAGCTGTAGGATAGGGTGTGTGTGTGTGTGTGTGTTTAACAGACTTTCTTTAGGGTTATTACATAATTAATACTTAGAATAAGAAGAGAGGGAAAAGTGGTAGGTTATCAGGATAGTGTTATGCCTTCTAAGAAAGAAGGGAGCTAACATTCCACTTCATGCCATTACACATCAAGATCTACATATGATTTTTATTGACAGAAATATTTAATTACAATATCATCAAGAATAAAGCAGATTCTGATATTTTACTTCAACAAATAGACCTGCTACTTTGTTGGATTAAATTTAATTTATCTGTAATATTTAATTCTTTCTCTATAATCAGGTATAGCTACTGTAGGCAGAAGCAATAATCTTAGTATATATGAACTTACAACATCTTCTTAACTAACAAGAGAAACCAGGAAGCCAGGACACTTTACAGTAGGTAGAGAAGGGAACTGAATATATGTGTGTGAGTTGGAGTGGGAATTGTAGGATGGGGAGCGGACAAAAGAAGAGGTGGAAATCGTTAGTAACATATTTTATTTTAACTGCCATGGCACGGCTAGGTTTGTTTTTTTCTGGTTTGCTGGGTTTTTTTCTTATTTTTCAATGAATGAGAACAACGTTGGCTAGCAGAGTTCGTGTTGTTGCCATTGTTAACATTTTGGAAAGAGGAGTGCACACACACACAGATTTGTACATGCTCATGCCTTAATTTCTATTTCTGTTGAATCAGAGGTTGCATAATGTTTGGAATCAGGGGCCAAGGCAATGCCTTAAGAGAAATTGGAAAAATAGGAACAGAAGATGGAACATTGCTCACCCCTTTGATAATTTGCTTGATTCGCTGTGTTTTACAGAGAGGAGTTTTATGGAAAACTTTTCACAGTGGCCAGGTTCAGTGGGAAGCTGCACTGTCTGCTAGGTGGAGATTGACCTATCATGCTAATTCCCACCCCTTCCTCTTCTCGCCCTTTCCAGTGAAGATGTCAAAGCTGCCCGAAACTTTTCTTGCCCTCTAACCCAAGTATCTTACATTCCTTCAGCTGATTGCCAGCCCAGAACAGTTTTGAGAAAGAGAAGGGACAAGAAAAGTCAATCACAATATTTCTTCTCCACCTTCTCTTCCTCAACTCTGCTAATTTCCCACAAATTAATATCTGGATTGTTGTAGCAACATACTCCCCACTGATCTCCTTCTCCATTTTCTGAATTTTTATCTTATCAAGAGATAACCTAGATACTCACCAGGTTGCTGTTCCTCCCTAAAGTAGCCACACCTTATTTCATCAAGTATGTACTGGAAGACACACCATTATCACCAATGTATTCCCCTTTTCTTAATCTTTTTTGGACTATGAGTCCTTTTAAGAATTTGATAAACACTGTGGACTCTTTCCCTAGAAAAAAACGCTTATATACATACCCTGAGAAGTCAAGATGAGGTTAGAAAAATATTTTTTCTGTTTAGCAGCATGGAGGTCACTATGTTCATAGTAGGAATTAACATGTAGTGACTGTAAGCAAGATTGGAGTATGTTGAAGAGTGAGTGGGAGGTGAGGAAATAAAGAAAGTTTAGGCAATGTTTTTGAAAATTTCACTGTGATGTGAAGGGAAAGAGGACAGCAGATGGAGGGATATGAAAGGGGTGAAGGAGGATTTGCTTTATTTTTGTGTGAGCATAAATGCTGATGGCAAAGGCCAAATTGACAGGAAAAGGTTGAATATATACAAGAAGAAATCGATACAGAATAATGTAAGGTTCCTGTGAAGGGAGGAGGAAATGGAATCCAAAGTACGATAGACTTTTTGTGGGTAGCCACTATATATAACATTGTTTCTGTGGGGGGAAGAAAAAGCAATTTAGATTTCAAATAAGTGACTTACAAGTGATCCTTTCCACCACTGCCATTTCATTAATTTTAAGACTTTAAGGGTTGTTTTTGCGAATCATTTCCCAAAATAAAAGAGGAGATGGAATGATAGAGTGGACTGCGAGAACACCAACTTGGCTTGGACATTTAAATGTTAGATGACCTTTAGTCAATTGTTCATGCTTCATGTATAAAACCAAGAATTTAGGCCTTGAAGGTATTTCAGATGTTTTGGGGGCGGGTGTTTTAGTTGTCATAACAACTGCGGGTGCCACTGTTATTTGTGCCCAGGACTACTGATGCTGATTTGTCTTGTAATACACAGGACAGGTTGTCACAACAAATTGTCCTGCTCAAAGCCTGCAGAACTCCTGATGAGAAATGCTGGACCATGGCTAGCTAACCACTTAGGACCTTTCCACCTCTAAAGTCAAACTTACCAAAGGAGATACAGAGTTAAATGTCCCTTTCAAAGCCTTTGAGAATCTTTCAAATCTCAGGGATAACCCTTTGGTTTTTCTTAGAGTAGGTAGTAGCTTTGGCTAGTTATTGACTGTTTAGGAAGCTTTTGGACTATATCTACCAAAAGCCAACTAAGACTGAGAAATACAAGTCTGACTTATCTCCATTCTTTTCTTTGTATTTCAGGTACTTTTGGGATTATCAGCCCCAAGGTGAGTCCTCTTCGACAATTTACGATTTTACAGTAAAAATGTGTAGATGGTGGTGTTTACTTCCGTCTCTTCTAAATAAGCTTCACCATAGAGTGGCATTAGCCATTTCCGAGGAAGATCAGTGGAGTGTTTAATTAACCTTCACCCTGCTGGGCTCCCCTGCCCTGCTTTTTAGCAACAAGAGGCTCTGATGCTCTGCTTTCTCAGTGGACTAGATTATTTTATAGAACCAAAGCTTTAATATGCTTTTATTCCTTGAGCTTTGTTAGATGCCAACGGATCCACTGCCGTTCAAATAAAATGGTGGCCGAGTCCATCATAAAAACCTTGGGAGGCCTCCAACTCAGCTAATCCTTCATTTGCTCCAGAAATAAATTCCGGTATGTTACCTCCTCGATCACAGTGTTCTTCTACACAGCCTGCCTGTCTGGCAGCAGAGAAATGTCAGAAATGGAGTGGTGTTGAAATTCCCACTAGAACAGTGTTATCACATTTTAATATGAGCCTCACTGCAGCCTCAGTGCTTCTAATTGCTTTCAAACCATTGTTTCCCTGCTTTTGCTTGATGAACCCAGCATCTGGCATGATTCTGAAAAGTACAGCAGACAGCTGTGTGCAAAATTAAAGAAAAAAAAGGCAGGAATCGAACATATTTTTAAAGGTTCAAAATTGGAATTTTTTTCTGAATTCAGTTTGAAGGGATGTCTTTAAAGTATATGCATTCTTTGTTTTTGGTATTCTGGTAGAGAATGTCTGAAACATCATTCTGAATATTAATTATCTTAATTTATATAAATGGGGGGTTTTTATTTTCTCAGAAAATCAGTTTTAGATTAAGCTTGCAAACAGCTTTATGAACTGTTTTGCTCTATAACTTTTTTTAACCAATTGCAAACTTTTCCTTTTATTCTCTTAATATTGTCAGTATATCCAGTCTCAGTGAGCAGTAAAACCTTTAAAAATTCAAGTTGTAATGATATTAGTTTTATTGAAATTTTAATCTTTCCAGCTCATACTTTGTTTTAGGGCATTTCAAGTCTATATAGGTTTTCTTTAAAAGCAAACTTTAAGAAATAAAAATCTTACATTTTAAAGCTTTTTGATGCCTCCAAGTTAAAGTTGTAGCATTTATAATATTTTAAATAACGTCATGTGGTGTTACTATATATTCACTGTCCTACAATGCTTATGGCTGAAAACATAGACTGAGAATAAAGAATTACATGTAATAATGTCGCAGTTGGCTTTGCAAAATGTGAAATATACTATTCAGGGAATGGCCCTATAGTTCAGGGTTTAACAGATGTTAACCAAAATCCACAGAGGGCAGAACATGAATTTGAACTGGCAGAAATGAATGAAACTGTGAGGGTAGAATTAATTACCTAAAGGAGAAATAAAGAATTATTGTCAGAGATGTGGTATAATAATGTGTTGAGAAGAGAAAATAATTTTGGAAGCTAACACAAGAGACTATGTGGGGCTAAAAAGACAAAAGGCACATCTTACCAGCTTCTTGTAATAGAGGCAGTGCAGTTACCTTCCGGCATAGGGCAACGTCTACACAGACTTTCTCAGAAAAAGGGCAGAGGTAGGACAGCCAAGGGGACAGCTGGAAAGAGTTTATTTAGAACAGAAAACTGTATTTGCTTCTTGACAATGATTGGATATATATAGCAAATTCTTTGCTCATTTGAAAGTAAATGTAAGTAAAGATCAGATAGAAAAACCCATATTCATGTGTCTTACCCCCAGCTTTGCTCCTCCCCCTGACACTTTTTTTGTGGGGAGAAGAGGGAGGAGTATCTTTTGTCTTGCCCTTTTGATCGGATCTTAGCTGATTGCTTCAGAAACTGGTAGAGTGGGTGGGAGCAGTAACAGGTCTTTATAAGGTACTATAGGATAATTTAGGGTTATGAAAAGAATAGAAATATGTAAGAAAGAGAACAGATGGCAGAAGAATTTTAAAAGCCCTGTAAGGCTAGGGAGTAGTAGGGGAAGGGAATGAGAAAGGACGAAATGATATTCCCAAACTTTCCTAGCATTTTTATCTATGGCAGGATTCCTCTGTGCAGGAAGATGATGGGATGAATTTTATTAACTGTGCATTTGCCTAAATACACATTTGTGTGCTTCAGGATATTTGAACTAAACCAGAGTCTGGTGCCTAGAAGGAAAATAGTCCTTAATTATAAAAGATCTCTTATTTATAAATATCTTTATTAGCACACATTTAAACATCTAGTTATGTCTGTGATGAGTTGGTACAATGTACTGAAAAGGTAACCTTTAAAGAAAGATGCTTGGAAGAGTGGACTGTCCAGACGTAGAGAAGGATTGCAAGCAAAGTGTTTCTTATCAATCATTCTATTCAATCCCAAGTTTAATGTGGTGGAGGAATGACTGTTGAATAGTATTAGGGAAAGTTTTGTCCCTGTTCTGGAGAAGAAACATAGCATGGTAGAGTGTGGATGTTACAGTCTGACAGACCTGGGTTCAAATCCCACCTACACCATTTAACGAAAGGTTATGTGACCTTAGCAAGTTGCTTAATTTCTGTGACGTTAGCTTCCTTGTCTACAAAATGGGGATGTGCCAGACATTGTGCTAAGTCTTATTTAACCCTCAGAATAGCCCTATGAAATAGGTACTGTTAATATACCTATTTGATAGATGTGGATATTGAGGTACAGTGAGGTTAAGAGAATTGCTCAGGGTCATGCCCCTTAAGGATTCTAGCTCGGACAGTATGACTTCATAGCATTCACTCTTTTTGGAAAAATAAATAACAGCTTTATTGAGACACAATTCACACATCATAAAATTCACCCTTTAAAAGTGTACAAGGCAATGCCTCTATCTGACAGGCCTGGGGTAGTTACTGCTGCTAAGGTTTCCACTGCAGACGCAAGAGAAAAAGAGTCCTTGTGCTTTCTGTCTGATTGTGACAGGCCAGATTGAATGAGGGAAGACAGGGAAAAAATTTTTTGCAACTCAGGTGTAATTTTGTGAACAGTATAAGCCTGCTCTACTCCAAAGGGGAAAAAAGTATGCAAGTCAGTGGTTTTTAGTATAGTTACTCAGTTGTGCAAGCATCACCAATGTCTAATTTCAGAACGTTCATTACCCCAGTAAGAAACCTCATGCTCATTAGTAGTTCCAGAGCCCAGTATCTTCATTGCTGTATTTTACTGTCTCACTGCAGAGTTGTTACAAGGATCAGTAATAATATATGTGAGCCCTAGCATGGTACCTGGACGTAGTGTAGTTTCTGTTTATAATAGTGTTAATGCTAATTCTTTTCCTCACATTTTCACTTAAATTTTCTTATTAGTCCACTGTCACCTTCCTGAATGATGTTCATTAAAAAAAGAATGAAACATAGGGAAAACAAAACATAATCCAAATAATGTATTACTCTAATGTAGGAGGAACGGAAATGAAAGAGCTCTTTTAATGAGCTCAGATACAGTTGGAAAACATGGGAAAGGCTTTTTATTTTTTAATAAGATAGAGAATCCTTTGATAATTCAAGTCCTGTTTACTTTAAGAACTTTTTTTCTGCTTAAGTTTTCGCTTAAGTTTACCAAGAAAATTCATTGGAATCTTTGCCATGGAACTTCTATCATTTCAGTAATCAGATCTCTAAAACATGATATTGGTCAGGTGTCTAAACAACAGTATCAGTGTTACCTGTTAGATGTGGTGACAATAGCACTTAATGGCATTCAGCATACTGACAATTATAGTTGAATCAAAATTTCAATTATAAGACATAATGTGTGTAATTTAAATTTTATTACAATAAACGTCTTGATGAATATTAGAAAAATTGCCCACCATTGGCCCAGAGTCTAAAACAAATGACACAATATTTAAATAAAAATTTAAGAAAGACCCATGAGAATATTATAAATATATATAACAAAATCATATTTTTTTTCTGTCCAATGGTCACTCACATTTGTGATAGTGGTAAATATGGGCCAGTGAAATTTCTTGCCAGTTTGCAGATTCTTTGAATATGGATGGTATAGAGGGTTTATGAGAAAATTATTTGATATATTTCAGTATGAAACTTCCCACTGCATGAATCTTAAAAATCTTATTTTGAAATGCCAAGTCTGTATCCCTTGTCAAATTAAATTATCTTGGCAAAAGCAATTAGAGCAAAGTGAATAAAGAAAATGTTATCATAAAGCCACATTAACTGTAGATTAAAAGAGATTTGAAAGGAATTTCAACTAATATGTGGATCTTATTTGCATCCTGAGTCAAAAAACTATTAAAAAATTATTAGAAAATTAGAAATTTGAACACTGACTTGATATTTTATGTTAATAATCTGTTAATTTTTTAGGTGTGACAATAGCATTATGTTTTTTTTTAAAGAATCCTTATCTTAGAGAGATGTATGCTGTGGTATTTAAAGATAAAGTAATAGATTTCTGACATATTATTCAAAATAATACGGACAAGGGAGAAATAAATGGGGTAGGGGTGTGGACGAAATGAGATGGATCATAAATTAACTCTTGTTGAAGCTATATATGGGAGTTTATTAGACTGTTTTATCTACTTTTTTACATGTTTAAAATTCTCCATAATGCAAAGATAGAAGAAAAAATCTAGGTTGAGATAAATAAAAAATGTTATATTCTTTTATTTCTATTATAAAACTTAATACATTAATGCGTAAGATACTTTATGTATCTTGGACACAAAATACATAGACTAGTGAGGTTTTTATTTCAAGTTTAATGTTTTGTGATGGAAAGAGCATGAGCTTTGAAATCAGACCTCGGTTTGAATCCCAGATCGTCCACTTACAAGCTTTGTGAACTATGGCAAGTAACTTCCTCATCTACAAAATCTTGCTAATAAAATCTACTTCACAGTTATGAGTTGTAATGAATTATAATGAGATGATGAACTCAGAGGAGTGCTTGCCACTTGGTAGGCACTTACTAAAGTTATAGCAGGTATTATTTTTATGTTTCAAAGTAGGGCTATGCAAGTAAATCCGTGTATGGAAATTAGATAATGTACACTTCATGTATCTTTACATAAAATTCTTCCATTCCAGCTGAACCCTGGTGTAGGGCCATGTAACTCACCATGTATATATTTGTGAAGTTTTCATTTAAAGGTTGTATGTGCAGAATTTTTATTGGTAGACACTTCAGAGGTTAGATTTATGAGCTTATTGCTCTGTAATGTCTGAGACATGTTGAATCGAAGCATGGATGTCACTTAACTTCTCGTCTCTTACTATCACATACTCGCAGCATGTAGTTATGACAACTACAAGAAGCAAACCATTAAAGCAGCAAAGAAACACTGTCTTAGCACTAAAAAAATGGAGAGAAGGGTTTTGCTTTGGAGTTGAAGAGAAGTGTTTTTGAATTAATGGAGTGTACAGTGATTTTAGTAAGTTTTATTTATGAAAATACTCTTTGCATTCATGCCAAAAGGTTTTAGCACAGTCACAAGTAGGATTTATACAAAGAAACATAGCCAAAATTTATGATGTGTTTGCAAATGTAAGAAAAAGTCTGAATTTACAATATTTGTAATTTATTGTTAAGTATCTTTCTATCACTATTCCTGGAATGCTAATATTTTATAAACACAAGTGTTGGTTATGAACCTACAATATCCTAACTCATACTACTTTTTAAAAAGAAATCTTTCAGAATGTTTTCCATGTCTTTTGGGGATTTAATAGAGGGAAATGTACACAGGACAAATACTCCTGCCTTTGGCTTTAGCCCAACCTTTTAGCATCAACAATCTTGACAGCTGCTTTTGTGGGTTGACTTCCTTTGGGCCTTTCCCCTTTCTTTATTTGCTACATTTTATACAAATTAATCTGTAGAAGGCAGATATACATAGACGTTGTTTTTGAAGTTAATTGCTGACTTTGATACCTTTTCAAATATTTTACTTCCTATACATCTACTGGCTGATTTTTTTTAAAGAGTGGAATAATGCAATAGTGCATTTTTAAATTAATGCACTGTTTTGCAACTACTGTCACAGAGGGTAAGATTTTTTTTCAATAAAAGGATTCACTTTTTTCTTTTTAACTTCAAAATTTTTCTAAGATTTTCATGTGTTTTGTAAATGTCCTATCCTGGAGCACATGATCTTAAGACATAAGAAAAAGAACTGACTTTCATGCAGGTGAAAGAAATCATTTGAATTAGAAGCTGCAGCCTTCTGTATTCCCTACACAATATATTATACACAAAGATGTTCATTTATAGCATTGTTTGGAATAGCAAAGACTCCAGACAGCCTAAATGTTCAGCACTAGGGGACTAGTTAAATTAAAGTATATTACATGCATTTAATGGAGTACTACATAGAGGTTAAAAGAGTATATGTGTATCATGGAGAGCTCACCAAGGCATATTGGTAACTGAAGAGGGTAATTTGGACAGTGTATAATTTCTGTGTATGTGTTTGTATGTGTGTGCACAAACATGCATGCACGTGTACTTGCTTTTATTTGTGTATAGAATATTTTTGGAAGGATATACATGAACCTATTAACAGTGGTAGCCTTGTTGAAGAGGGGTGCTGGTGTGAGTACAAGACAGAATCATCATTATTTATATCTTTTGCTACTGTTTGAATTTTCACCATGCGTATTATTTTTTAGCTAAAAATTAGTTAAAATAAAAATGAGATAAATCTATTTGTGCTGACATGGAGCAACCTCCATGATAAATGACTAGGAGGAAAAGCAGGATACAGAACAAGACAAATGCTACCATTTGTTAAAAAAAAAGAAAGAGAGAGAGAGAGAGACATACTACCCTCACAGATACTTGTTATATTTAGATAGAAAATTCATAGAACACCCAAGAAACATCACAATGGTTGATCTGAGAGAAGAACCAAGAGAAGGGAGGGAAGATGAGCTCTCATTACATGCCTTCTTGTAAGTTTGAAATTTTTGCTCTGGGCATACTTAACTTTTTTATTTAATAAAGCTTACTGTAATTAATAATACTATATTGTGTATTTGAAAGTTACTAAGAGACTATATCTTAAAAGTTCTCATCCTAAGAAGAAAATTTGTAACTATGTGAGGTGATGCATGTTGACTTAACTTAGTGTAGTAATCATTTCTTGATATATACATGTATCAAATCATTGTTGTACCCCTAAAACTAATATACAATGTTATATGTCAATTATAGATCAATAGAACTGGGGAGAAAAAGAAACGTACAAAAAACCTGATTTAACATAGTAGCTCTTTTTCAGTAGAAGCATGACTTGGTGGTTTATATCTACTCACTTTTTTCCTTCTTATTTATTTGTTTATTTTTACATATGAATTTATAGAGAAGACCCTGCTGACAGTAAAATTCTGTGTTGTTTAGTGTTTGAGAACCAGTAGTACATAGGTGTGTTGAGTTGGCATTACTTAAAAGTGAATTTTAAAATAAATAATAAAATAGTATCATATAATACTCATGATAACTGGTAAAGAATACATTTTTAACCCTGCCCCAGTCTTTCTTTTTTCCATGTGTGGTAATTAAGAGTTTATAGAACTTCTGATTCTTTGTCATTATGTAGATGGCAAAGAAAATAAAGTAATTGATAAGTGAATGACTGATTTAAGTTTATTTTATTTAGCCTGGAAACTTTTGTTGAGAAAAAAAACACTTATAAATTATTTCTCTTAGATAGAATTATCCTTGGACCAACACAGAAAACCAGGTAAGTAGTTACTGAACATAGAATCTTAGCATAAGAATTAATCTACCTCAGGAATTCTGACTCTGATGAATTTTCATGTTCTAGACACGAAGTATTGAGGGAAATATGTGGTTAATTTGAATATAAAATTTCTTGGGTTTCTGCTTGAAACTCTTTGTGAGTAAGCCCTTAGACTTAAAGCCTGGTGAATTTGTTTGATATTTGGAGGCTGAATAATGTGATGGTTGAGCTGATTCT